TATATATATATATATATGAGAAGTAACATGGAATATAAAGAAATCTCCAAAATGTGTAAACAGAACTTTTCTGATACTCTGCTTAACTCTTTCTTGAGAGGTACCAAAACAATCTCAGGTATTCAAAAGCTTAGCCATTAACATTGCTTGGTGAATTGGAAAAAGAACCAATACTGAGGTTTACAGCAAACTTTAAATAGACCACTGTTTTTCAAAATGTGGTCCTTACACAAGCTGCATTAGAAGCATCTATGATATTTCTTAAAATGTAGATTTCTAGGTCTCACCTCTATAGGTAAGGAATCAGAATCTATGGGGTATAAAGAAGAAATCTATATTTTAAAGAGGCAACCCAGGTAAATATTATGCATACAAAAGCATGAAAATCAGGTACTTTTCTTTATCAACCCTATCCATTCTTACCCAAATTAGAATTAAATATATGGATTAAGAACCAAAATTGGGATGCTAAATACATATAGTAGTAATCTAGAGCATAGAACTTTAAGTAAATAATAATAACAAAAGATAAAAATTCTTCTTCCTCAAGGTGTGGACTTTCTTGGATCTTCTTTTTCCTGTTTGGATTGCTTCTCCAAACTCACCTATAATATACTACTTCCCTTGATGAGATGTCCAGGTTGCCTCTTGGTTGGGAAGCAGTAGCTTTGGGAAAGGAGTTCACATTTATATTCTGTGTAATGGGCAAAAGAAGTCCTCACATGTTCACAGAATGTTTAGCCTAACTTACCAGGGTAAAAATCAGAAACTTCAGTCGAAAACTCAAATTAGCAATAAAACATATTCCATTATCTGGAGCTTGTTTCTTATACTGGCTTTTCAGGAAACTCAGGAAGGTAGAAGCCATATGGTAATCAGTGGTATAGCACCAAAGGATTCAGAGAACCTTCAGTTACATAACACTCACAATTTACATTCAATTTCTAATAGCACATTCTATGGCAACTGACATAGAGATTTAAAAAATCTTCATGAAATTTGCTACCATAATCTTGCAAAAATTTTACTATTACTAACACTTCTGAAATATTAGGCTAGAAGAACAACTTTTCTTAGGTTATTAAAAAAAAAAAAAGCTTAGTCATTTCCCAAAATTATGGAAACTATTGTTTGAATGGAATGTGCTTGAAAATAAGTCCTGGATATGTGGGTTTGCAGGACAGACAAATATACTATAAATCTTAAGTAAAATAGAAAATATCACCCTTAATAAAATATATTTGTTTTCTTTGAAAAGTTGCAGTAATGCAATCATTAAAGTATTTTGTTGTTGTCGTTAAAGAGAGAACATGCGTGCAAGCAAGGTAGGGGCAGAGGGAGAGAGAATCCGAAGCAGGTTCCATGCTCAGCACAGAGCCAGACATGGGGTTCAATCCCACGACCCCAGGATCATGACCTGAGCTGAAATCAAGAGCTGGAAGCTCAACTGACCTAACCACTCAGCCTCCCCAGTAATTTAAGTATTTTAATAAGTTTTATGTAGGTAAACATAAAAATAAATAATAATTATCAATTTATGTCTAAATTTCCCACAAATCCAGCAGATTAAAAAGCAGGTTATTTTTATAGAAACTGTGAGAAAGATCTCTACATGCTGCATTAGTCCAGCTCATACCTATACTCTGGGTCACTGTCATAGGCAGAGTCTCTGTATAAAAGACCTCTTTTCAGCTCCAGTTCATCTTCTTTCTCGGGGTCTCTCTCATCCTGAAAAATTTAAAGATTTCCATTAATTCATTTTGCAATTAAAATGATCTCTATGTTTCTTTGGGAAATGCTCTCCCTCTCCCCCATTATAAGAAATGAATTGAATGCTTGGATTTCTTAAAAAGAAACAAAAGGGGAGGTGAGAATTTGTTATTCTGTCCAATAAAACAAATATGATTTTATTCTATTTATGCTAATATGGCTTATCAAAGACTAGACACTGGTAGATATTTCTTGCATCAATAAATGAACAGGAATGGGTACTGTGTCAAGATATGTAGTAAGATATGTAGTAATGTCTTACATATTGTCATGTGAACTGCTAAAAGATTGCACCTGCACTCTGAAGAATAAGTACCTGGGAAACTTATGTAGATGTAAGCATTCTAATACATACCTACTATTCATAAGCCAAAATGTACTAACAAGCCACAAGAATAAAAATGAAAGTCAAGGCAGTTAGAATCAAAATACATAGCTACTGGGGCGCCTGAGTGGTTCAGTCGGTTAGGCATCCAACTTCGGCTCAGGTCATGATCTCACAGTTTTTGAGTTCAAGCCCTGCATAGGCTCTCTGCTGTCAGTGCACAGCCTGCTTTGGATCCTCTGTCCCCTTCTCTCCCTCCAACTCCCACCTGCTCCTGCTGTCTGTCTCTCTCAAAAAATAAATAAACATTAAAATAATAAATAAAAAAAAAAAGACATCGGGTTTTGAATCCCAGCTGAGCACCCAGGAGGCACAGGAGAACTGTGGAGCAGGACAGGATCACCATTGGCACTACTCTGCACGGGCTGCCTGAATAGCATGGTTTGAGACTCCCAGTCCGGGGAGGAGAGATTGGGGTGTCACCAATACCAACACAGCAGGGCTTCAAGAACAGGACAGTGGCCCCCAGTGGAGGTGGGACCCACTTACACCAAACCCCACCCCTCCATGCCTGGTAACTGCTTATCTACTGGAGCAGGACCGACACTGATTGAACTAGACAGTCTCTCATCCAGACCAGCACAGTTGCCAATACCAGGTACCAATAGACAAGTGTCCTATAGTTTTATATATTAGTCTGTTTTTTTTTTAATTTTTAAATTTTTCTCTTTTCTTTCCTACTCTTCTATTTTCCCTTCTTTTTCTTTCTACCCTCCTCTTTCTTTCTTTTTTTTCCCCTTTGGAATCGGACTCATAGTTTCTGGTCAAGTCTTACTTTACATATATTTTTTTTCTTTCTTCTTTCTTTTTCTTTCTTTTCTTTCTTTCTTTCTTTCTTTCTTTCTTTCTTTCTTTCTTTCTTTCCTTCTTTCTTTCCCTTTTCTGGTTGTTTGTTTCATCAGGCATTTTTGCTCTATTCTTTTTATACCTTTTCTGTAACTCCTTCTTCTTCATTTTCCTATCTCTCACTGGATTAAGCCTTCTAGTTTTTCTAATTCTCTGACTCGTCTTTTTTTTTCTTCACCCTCTTCATTTCTGTCTTTCTATGAGATAAGGTTCCTCCCATTTCCTTTTTTCCAAGGTTACTTCAACGAACAAATCAAAGCACAGCTGGTGGAAGGTCCAAACAATCCACCACTATGAGCAGTGGGACAGAGCAGCCAAATTTGCAACAACAAAGTCCATGCCAACACATTCCAAAAACACTTTCTGAAAGCCAGGTGCTGGACGGTGTATGACCCCTTTTTAATACAGCAGGACTCGCAGGTGCAGGACACATAACAAGCTATTAAAACATGTAAAAGACAGAAACCTAGCCAAAATGATAAAACAGAAGAATTCTCTTCGAAAGAAATTCCAGGAAGAAATGACAGCCAGGGAATTGCTCTAAACAGACATAAACAATATGTCTGAACAAGAATTTAGAATAAAAGTCATAAGACTAATAGATGGGCTTGGAAAAAAAAGGCATAGAAGAAAGAAGAGATCTACTGCTGCAGAGATCAAAGACCTAAGAAATAGTCATGATGAATTAAGAAATGTTGTAAATGAGATACAAATAAACTAGATGCAGTGACAGCAAGGATGGAAGAAGTAGAGGACAGAATAGGTGAAACACAAGATAATATTGTGGAAAATGATGAAGCTGAAAAAAAGAGGGAAAGGAAATTACTAGACCATGAGGAAAGAATTAGAGACCTAAGTGATTCAATGAAACGAAATAATATCTGTATCATAGGAGTTCCAGAGAAGAGAGAAAGGGGCAGAAGGTTTATTTGAACAAATTATAGCTAAAAACTTCCCTAATCTGGGGAAGGAAACAGGCATCCAACTCCAAGAGGCACAAAGAACTCCCTTCAATATCAGCAAAAACAGGTCAACAGTATAACATAATATAGTGAAATTGACAAAATACAAACATAAAGAGAGAATTCTGAAAGCAGCTAGGGACAAACTGGCCTTAACCTACAAGGGTAGACACATAAGGGTAGAAGCAGACCTGTCCACTGAAACTTGGCAGGCCAGAAGGAAGTGGCAGGAAATATTCAATGTGCTGAATAGGAAAACTATGCAGCCAAGAATCCTTCATCCAGCAAGGCTGTCATGTAGAATAGAAGGAGAGATAAAGGCTTTCCCAGATAAACAAAAACTAGAGGAGTTCATGACCACTAAACCAGCCCTGCAGGAGATCCTAAGGGGGGTACTCTGTGAGTGGAAAGCAGCAAAGACTATAAAGGTCCAGAGATATCACCACAAACACAAAACATACAGATAACACAATGGGACTAAATCCGTATCTTTCAATAATCACTCTGAATGTAAATGGACTAAATGCCCCAATCAAAAGACATGGGGTATCACAATGGATAAAAAAACAATATCCATCTATATGCTGCCTACAAGAGACTCATTTAAGACCTGAGGACACCTGCAGATTGAAAGTGATGGGATGGAGAACCATCTACCATGCTACTGGATGTTAAAAGCAAGCTGGAGTAGCCATACTTATATCAGACAAAGACTGTAACAAGAGATGAAGAAGGGCATTATATCATTAAGGGGTCTATCCACCAAGAGCAGCTAGCAATTGTAAATGTTTATGCCCCCAATGTGAGAGAACACAAAAATATAAATGAATTAATCACAAACATAAATAAATGTATAGATAATAATACTGTGATTGTAGGGGACTTTAATACTCCAGTGACAACAATGGACAGATCATCTAAGCAGAAAAACAACAAGGAAACAATGGCTCTGAGTGACACATTGGGCCAGATGGACTTAACAGATATATTCAAAACTTTTCAACCAAAAGCAGAATATACATTCTTCTTGAGTGCACATGGAACATTCTCCAAAACAGATAACATACTCGGTCACAAAACAGCTCTCAACAAATATAAAAGGATTGAGATCATACCATTCATATTTTCAACCACAATGCTATGAAACTTGAAATCAACCAAAAGAAAAAATCTGGAAAGCCCCCAAATACATGGAGGTTAAAGAACATCCTACTAAAGAATGAATGGCTCAACCAGGATATTAAAGAAATTAAAAAATATACAGAAGCAAATGCAAATGAAAATACAATAGTCAAAACTATTTGGGATGCAGCAAAGGCAATCCTAAGAGGAAAATACATTGCAACTTAGGCCTATATTAAGAGGCAAGAAAGGTCCCAAATATATAACCTAACCCCACACCTAAAGAAACTAGAAAGGAACTAGCAGCAAAGAAACCCCAAAGCCAGCAGAAGAAGATAAATAATAGAGATCAGAGCAGAAATAAACAATACAGAATCCAAAAACAAAACAAAACAAAACAAAAAACAAAAACATGAAACAGAACAGATCAATGAATCTAAAAGCTGGTTTTTTGAAAGAATAAACAAACTTGATAAACCCCTAGCCAGACTTAACGAAAAGAAAAGAGAGAGGACCCAAATAGATAAAATCACAAATGAAAGAGATCACAACTAACACCACAGAAATACAATTATTAGAAAATACTATGAAAAATATATAGTTATATGTTGCTATAGCCAACAAATTAGACAATCTGGAAGAAATGGACAAATTCCTAGATACCCACACACTACCAAAACTCAAAAGGGAAGAAATAGAAAATTTGAACAGACTCTCCCTGCTTCCCTCAACCAGAGAAGAAATTGAATTGCTTATCAAAAACCTCCCAACAAAGAGTCTTGGGCCAGATGGCTTCCCAGGGGAATTCTACCAGACATTTAAAGCAGAATCAATACCTATTCTTCTCAGGCTGTTCCAAAAAAATAGAAATGGAAGGCTTCCAGACTCATTCTATGAAGGCAGCAAGCATTACCTTGATTCCCAAACCAGAAAAAGACCCTATTAAAAAGGGGAATAACAGGCCAATATCCCTGATGAACATGGATGCAAAAGTTCTTAACAAGATACTAGCAAATTGAATTCAACAGTATATTAAAAGAATTACTCACCATGATCAAGTGGGATTCATTCCTGGGCTGCAGGGCTGGTATAATATTCACAAATCAATCAATGTGATATATCACATTAATAGAAGAAAGGATAAGAACCATATGATTCTGTCAATAGATGCAGAAAAAGCATTGACAAAATACACATGCTTTGTTAATAAAAACCCTCATGAAAGTCGGGATAGAAAGAACACACCTTAACATCATAAAAGCCATGTATAAAAGACCCACAGCTAATATCATCCTCAATGAGGAAAAACGAAGAACTTTCCTCCTGAGATCAGGAACATGATAGGGGATGTCCACTCTCACCACTGTTGTTTAACATAGCATTGGAAGTCCTATCCTCAGTAATCAGACAATAAAACAAGATAAAAAGACATCTAAATTGGCAAAGAAGTCAAACTTTCACTTTTCACAGATAAGATGATACTCTACATGGAAAACCCAAGTCTCCACCAAAAAAATGCTAGAACTGATACATGAATTCAGCAGAGTTGTAGGATATAAAATCAATATATAAAAATCGGTTGCATTTCTATACAACAATAACGAAGCAACATAAACAGATACCAAGGAATCAATCCCACTTGC